CGCCGCCGCCCCTCCCCGCCGGCCGGCCCCCGCCGCCATGCCGGGGTCGGGCCGAGCCCAGGGGCCGTCCCGGTACGTGGGAGCCGGTGGGGCGCTGCCCCGCTGCGGGGTAGGGAGCGGCGGACGAGGGGTTATATCGCTGTAAACCAGCTGGTACGGGTGTGGGAGCATCGCTTTGCCCGGCACGTTCTCTCCGGGCTTTCTGCGGTTTCCTGATAAGGTCTCAGTTTCTCAGTGGTACGAGGGCGAGGAGGTCTTTGTACGTGCGAGTCATCTCTCTGCTGCCAGAGCGGGGCCGGGTCCCGTTGGTGTGTTGGTCAGGGCCTTGCCTTTCAGGTGTTCCCCAAGGATGGAAATTGATCAGTCTCTATGGGCACGTGTATTTTTATACATATATTTTTCACATTTTAAAAAGCAGTTTTCTTTATGGGCTGTTCATATGGGAATATGTAAAGAACGCATAAACGCTGGGCAGCCGGTTGGTAGGTGTGTTTGATGCAGGCACGCGCCCACCGAGGCCCAGCCGGCCTGGTGGAGGGGACAGCAAAGAGGAGGTGGCAGCAGGCTCTGGCCCATGGTGACCTGGGGTGGGCAGGGTAGAAGGGGACAGAAAACTGTCACTGGGCTGAGCTCTCGGGCCAGAGGAATCCACTGATGGGGACACACCTCACACCTTACTTAGGCTGCTGCTGAATGACCCCACCTATAACAATATGCTAACGTGTCAGGCTGGCACAGACAACCAAAGCATTCGGGTCATCAAAATGTAAGTGGCTAAGGCAGGTTTTCTCCCTGGAGCTGTAAATCTGTTTTCATTACAGCTTTATTCTTCTAATTCCTGTGAGACTTTCCTGCTGAACACTGTGTCTTCAGAATAAAACAGAAGCAGCTCTGAGCTATGGGACGCCATCAAACCTACTGACTGACAAAAGAGCTTGTCTGACAACACTAGCCCAGCGTACTTGGTGGTAACCTCTGTGCAAGGCTGGCAAAATTTAGCTTTTTCTAGCTTCCCTGCCAAGTGAGTGACTTCTGTGACAAAGAGGTCACTTATGTCAGCTGTCCTTTCCAGTTCCAGTCAATTGGTTTGCAAGCAGAGCATGAGGATTTCTGGCTGACTCTGGTTTGGACATACAGGCTGAGCATCATCCTTGCACAGTCCAGAAAACTTCTGGAGACAGAGTTTTGGCAGAAGGCAAGATGGTATCTCACAACCCTCCCCCCAGCATGTAAATTTGATGCCAGAATTTGACCTGTAGCATCTTTCTAAAATAATGTCACTAATGGTGATAAGTCTCTGCTCATAGATTACCTGCTCTCACCTCCCCAGTGAAACCGCTAGGCAAGCATTCCAGTTCTTTTATTTTTGTGGTATGCTTACATGTTTTATGACCTTTTATTATTAATATTTATACAACATGTATAAAATATTTTGGCTTATTTGTGTTCTTTGTGAATTACAATGGCGTGCTTTCAGTCAGCCCAGCTGGTTCTCCAAAACGTTATGACAATACATTTCTTACGGCTGAACCTTTACAAGTAAATTCTTGGCTGAGCTAAGCTGACTTCAGTGGAGCTATGCTGCTCACCCAGCTGAGGATCTGGTCTTTAAAATGAGACAATGGTCTGTGGGTGAGACTGATTTAGTTTATCTTGCAGAAGTATTTCTTTAAGTGGTAGTTTCACTTTTGCAGCAATTTTATCAGATTCCTATCTTACTTTTAAATCCCATTCATGCTCTGAAATAGGATTCACATGAGACTGAAAGAGCTTGTGGCTCTTGTTTGTACAGAGATGACTTTCACCCTGTATGAAAAAGGAGTAGTTCTGAGTCAAAAGTTGATGTTTAACATGCAGCAAGGACACGTGCCCGTGAGAGTATATGATTGCTTAAGGAGCCTTGTTTGTGCAAAAGGACTGAAGTGATCATAGCTCAACGTTGCCTATTGTTTTACAGTAAATGTTTTGCATTATATGGTTGTCTACATGGCATCAGAGTTGTAAGTTGGCTACAGCTGCCTGGCCACTCCCTCCTCCCCCCAGCACTCTCATGGAAAAAAGAGATTTATCTCACAAGGCTACTCCAGGGACCAAATCTTTCAGAAAAGGCATCACTATGTGACCTTTTTTCTTGGTAAATAAGGAGTGGTGATTACTAAGAAAGCACAAACAGTTCTGAAAGGAGACTTTATTTTCTATTTTCCTGTATGTTTATGTAAGTGTTACTGTTTATCACTTCTATGTCCATGTATTGCCCTTAGCTTAGGGATAGAAGCTAAACTTTGAACAAAAGTCTTTGATATCTGCACTATTAGATAGTGTGGCTGTAGTCTGGGGTGAGTTCAGACACAGCGGGGACTAACTTCCTAGAGCTCTGCCCCAACAGACAGTGGGATAGCAACTGCTTCAGGGCAGCTGGTTCTGGGAACATGAACCCAAGCTTGAGCACAGCTACCAAAGGCAGCCTAGATACAGCACGATCCAGTCCCACACATGGATCAGGGACCTAAATACTAACTGAATGAAAATAGAGGGTTACTATTCTAGGGCAATGAGGGGGAGTTTCAGAAGTGCCCACAACTTGACCCACATACTTAGTATTTCTTAGGTATTTAGCTGCTGCTGCTTTCAGTGGGAAATGATACCTCAAGGAAACTTGCTGATCTGGGCTATCAATGGGATTAATGCACCTAAATTGTCCACCTGTCTTTTAGAGTGGAAATAATCTGTATTAATTCCACCCTAGCACCTAACCTTTCTGCTACTGAAATCAACGCCGAGTAATCCACTGACTTCTACAGTGTGGAATCAAACCAGTAAATTGGACAACTCCTCCATTAGAAAATCCTATGTGGCCAGAAATGAAAACAGCAATGAATACTACGTTGATGTTTTCAGGCCCCAGATGATTTTCAGTGTTTGTTTTGGATATGGGTATCCATATGTGAGAGTGCTACCAGCTATATTGTGTTTTCCTACATCTGTCTCTGTGTGGCACTGGTGCACTTTGAGAAATTCTTCAAGATGAACTAAAGATGTAGGATTTTGCTGGATTCAGCTGCTGTGCAGACATTTATATACTATTGTCATTCCATTTTACTCAGTGCATTCCAAAAACTTTGCAAAAGTGCTGAATAGTCCTGACACACCATTTATACAGTATGCACATTCATATTTCTATTATACACAGCCAAACCAATTATTATCTTCTGCTACTGTTGTTTTATTGACTGCATTATGTAAAAGCCTTTCTTACAAATTGTTCCATGACTTTTGCAGCTTGCAAGAAGCAAATTCTTCATCCAGAAAGCTGAAAA